GGGACAAGCTAGGTCAAACACATAGGAAGTAAGCTGGAGACAGAGCAATGCAAGTGATACAGGATACAGAGCAATGCAGGCTGGTCACGGGCTGAAGGTCACTCAGCAATGACTGAGACAGCTGAGCCTGCTTATATAGCCCCAGTGACATCACTGGGCATGCATCATGATGCACGGGGGCGTGCCCCGATGGGCCGCCTCGTCATAGGTGGGCGTGCCCCGCCGGGCCGCCTCGTCATAGGTGGGCGTGCCCCGCCGGGCCGCCTGGTCATAGGTGGGCGTTTCGCCGCTGCGGGAGCGCGGCTCGAGACCAGGATGCGGCCTGAGACCTGACATTGCCCCCCTCTAAGGGGCGGTCTCCGGACGCCCAACTGGTACTGCTTCTCGGGATGGTTTTGTAAGAAGGTCCGGACGAGTCTGGGAGCATGAATGTTGGCAACGGGCTCCCAGGAGTTCTCTTCAGGCCCGTACCCTTTCCATTTGACGAGGAACTGTCCCACGCCCCCGCGTTTCCGGCAGTCCAAGACGGCCTCTACCTCATACTCCTCTTCGCCATTCACCAGAATGGGCCCTGAAGTGTCAGGGATGCAGTCAGGGAAGGTATCCGGAACAGCAGGTTTCAACAAAGAAACATTAAAAACAGGATGGATTCTGTAGGCCTCTGGTAAGGTTAGTCGGTAGGCAGCCGGATTGATCCTGCGTTCCACTGGGAAGGGCCCAATGAATCTGGGGCCCAGTTTCTTAGAGGGGCAGGCTAATTTGAGATTGTAGGTGGACAGCCAGACCAAGTCTCCGACTCGCAAGTCCAGGTCACCCCTACGAGTCTGGTCAAAGGCCCTCTTGGCGTCCTTCTGGGCCTTGGCAATAGTTTATTGCAGGAAGACAGAGTTGGTGCGGAGGAAGTCCACGGTCTCTTGAGCGGCCGGTACTGTGGAATCCGGTACCCACGTGGGTAGGAAAACGGGGTGGTAGCCGTAGTTCGAGAAGAACGGAGACTGTCTGATGGCTGAATGCACATTATAGGCAAACTCCGCCAGCGGGGTCAGAGAAACCCAATCATCCTGGGAGAACGTGGAGAAGCAGCGAAGATACTGCTCCAGGGTCTGGTTCGTCATCTCTGTCTGGCCGTTGGTCTGAGGATGGTATGCAGATGAAAAACTCAAACGTATGTTCACGGCTTCGCATAAAACTCTCCAGAACCTGGAGGTGAACTGGACCCCTCTGTCGGAGACCACATCAGTGGGAACCCCGTGAAGGCGCACCACCTCCTATATGAAAGTGCTAGCTAGAGTCTCTGCCGTGGGAACCCTCCGCATCGGAATGAAGTGGGCCATCTTTGAGAGGCGGTCCACAACAGCAAAGATTGCAGTACAGTTTTCAGAGGGTGGTAGTTCTACAATGAAATCCATTGAAATAGCGGTCCAGAGACGGACTGGAATCGTAAGTGGCCGCAGTAGGAGAATATAGTTCCGGCAGTCCAAGTTCACTGAAGGCCACCAAAACAAATGCTGTACCAGGTCTGCTGTCTTGCGGCCACCGAAGTGTCCTGCCAATGGAGTATCGTGCCATTGCCCGATAATAGCGGATCGTACCGATTCGGGCACAAAAGCCTTTTCGTCCCGGAGGTACAGACCATCTTGTTGGTACAAATTCCAGGCACCGGAGGGTGGTGCGTCCCGAGATGCCTGTCGGATGCGGGAGAGCAGGTCGTCCTGCAGGAGTAGTAACTGGTTGGTCTGGAGAATGGTGTCAGGCTGCTTGGGAGCATCGAGTACATACCGGATAGGGCGTCAGGTTTCCCGTTGCGTGATCCAGGGCGGTAGGTTATGTGGAAGCGAAATCGGGAGAAGAAGAGTGCCCATCGGGCCTGCCGAGGTCTTAAGCGTCTGGCGGATCTTTGGTATTCTAAGTTCTTGTGGTCAGTATAGATCAGGACTGGATGGGTTGCCCCTTCTAGCAGATACCGCCATTCCTCCAGTGCCAGCTTAATGGCCAGGAGCTCCCGATCGCCCACATTGTAGTTCCTTTCTGCTGTGCTCAGCTTCCTAGAGAAGAATGCTACCGGGTGCAGAAGTGCCTTCAGGCCCTGGCGTTGAGATAACACTGCCCCTACCGCCACCTCCGGGATCCGGATATTTCAGAATGGGGGCGGATGTGAAGCGGAGCTTCAGCTGGTTGAAGGCGGCTTGAGCATCTGCAGGCCAGTGGAAGTGGGTCACCTTCTTAGTAAGTTGCGTGATTGGAGTGATGATCTTGGAGAAATCCTGTACGAATCGTCTATAAAAATTGGCGAAGCCCACAAAGCGCTGCACCCCTTTCTTGTCTGTAGGGGGAGGCCACTCCAGGATAGCAGAGACTTTGGAAATGCCAGTAGCTGAGATGACCAGTCCGAGGAATTGAATTGAGGACTGCTCAAACTCACATTTCTCGGCTTTCGTGTATAGGCCATGCAGTCGAAGTCGGCAGAGCACCTGCTTCACATGCGTCCGGTGCAGGGTTAGAGAGGCCGAGAAAATGAGGATTTCATCGAGGTATACTATGATGAAGAGGTCGATGAAATCCCAGAAGACGTCGTTCATCAGGTGCTGGAAGGTAGCTGGTGCATTACACAGGCCGGAGGGCATTACGAGGTATTCGTAATAAACCGGGTACGAAATCCACTCATCCCCTTCACAGATACGTACGAGATTATATGCACCCTGTAGATCCAACTTGGTGAAGATGGTTGCGGAACAGAGGCGCTGAAACAGTTCCGGAATCAGGGGAAGGGGGTAGCGGTTCTTGATGGAAATTATCCTCAATATACCCCTTGAGTGTTGCCAGCTCTGGTTCGGATAGTGGGTAGATGCGCCCAAAGGGAATGGCAGCTCCGGGTAGCAAGTTGATGGGGAAATCATATGCCCGGTATGGAGGTAGAGTGTCCGCATTCCGCTTGTCAAAAACATCAAGGAAATCGTGATAAATCGAGGGGATCTCTTGTCTCAGTTCGAGATCCCAGACTGGTTGGCAGAGGTCCAGGTTCTGAACAGTAGCGGGCCGCGAACAGTTCTGTAGACAATAGGAGGATCGGAAGGAGATCGTCCCAGTGCTCCAATCAATCAGTGGGTTGTGGACCTGGAGCCACGGCATTCCCAGTATGACAGGGGACAAGGGTGAGGATATGATATCCAAGTGGAGTAGTTCATGGTGTTCTGGCGTGACCTGGGTGTAAATGGGAACGGTCTCCTGGGTAACTGGTCCAGTTTTGAGGGCAGTGCCATCTGCCAGAAAAATTAGGAGTTCCTGAAGTTTGGGTTGCAGGGGAATGTGATGCAGAAGAGCGAATTGGAGGTCCATAAAGCAACTGCAGGCACCGGAATCAAGGATGGCCGAGATCTGGAGGACCTTCTCTGGCAGCTGTAATGAGATAGGAACAATAAGGTGAGAGGTGAGGTGGCCGGTCCGGACCTCAGAGACAGGATGAGTCTGTTGCCACTTACGGTTCTTGATGGGGCAGTTACGTACGTAATGCCTGGAACCCCCCCAATAGAGGCAAAGATCCAGGTGACGGCGTCGTTCCCTCTCCCCCGGGGTCAATGGTGCCTGTGTTAAACCAAGCTGCATGGGTTCGGCTGGCTCCGGGGTCGCAGCGGGAGGACCGGGTCGGAACATCGAGTTCCCAGCTGGCAGGAAATTTGGGCCCCGCAGCAACATCCAGGTCGGTTGGGTAGTAGCCGGTGCGTTCCAGTCTTCGCTCTCTCAGGCGTCGGTCAATCTGGGTGGCCAGGTGGATTAGCTCATCTAGGGAATCTGGTACACCCACACGGGCCAGCTCGTCTTTGAGGGAATCTGACAGTCCTAGCCTGAACTGACAACGGAGTGCCGCATCATTCCACTCGTGGTCGGAGCTCCATCTTTTAAACTCCGCCACATAGTCCTCAACGGCCCGCCAGCACTGGCGCAAGGAGGACAGAGTGGTCTCTGCAGTGGAGGCCCGATGGGGATCGTCATATAGCAGAGCCATGGCATCCAAAAATACCGATGAAAATTCAAGTCGATCGTCCCGTTCCAAGAGACGGTGGGCCCAGGCCTGGGGTTCATTAGCCAAAAGTGATATTATAAACCCCACCTTGGTCTGTTCCGATACAAAGGTGCGTGGCTGCAGCAGGAAGTAAAGTTGGCAAGCATGACTAAACGCACGTAACTTGCGGCCACCGGTGAATTTCTTGGGCGCTGGTACCCGGGGTTCAGGGTGTAACAGGGGATGCACAGGCAAGAGCAGTACGGGTGTCGGGTATGGAATCTTGGGTGCCAGCTGGGAATGGTGCTCCACAGGGAGATTCCAAGCATAGGTCAGGAACAAGCCGGGTCAAAAGTCAGAGAGCCAATGATACAAGCAGGATGCAGAGAGTAGTCAGGAATAGCCGGGTCAAGAGCCAGGGAGACAATAGCATAATCAGGATCCAGAGAGTGGTCAGGGACAAGCCAGGTCAAACACATAGGAAGTAAGCTGGAGACAGAGCAATGCAAGTGATACGGAGCAATGCAGACTGGTCACAGGCTGAAGGTCACTCAGCAATGACTGAGGCCGCTGAGCCTGCTTATTTAGCCCCAGTGACATCACTGGGCGTGCATCATGACGCACAGGGGCGTGGGCCGCCTCGTCATAGGTGGGCGTGCCCCGCTGGGCCGCCTCGTCATATGTGGGCGTGCCCCGCTGGGCCGCCTCGTCATAGGTGGGTGTGCCCCGCTGGGCCGCCTCATCATAGGGGGCGTGCCCCGCCAGGCTGTCTCGTCATAGGTGGTTGTGTCGCCGCTGCGGGAGCGCAGCTCGGGATCGGGATGCGGCCTGAGACCCGACACCAAGTCCTGTGTCCTCGACACTGCTATCTTGAAATAGTAACGCATGTTTGTATTCCTTCATACATTTTACGATACATTGTATAAGTCACTCAATGGCCTGCATTACGTCATATAGGTCTCATGTATCCATTCATAAGGGAAGTTCGTATCAACAGGAGAATGTGTCACAAGCATATGAATAAATGATACTTGCGGTTGGTTGGATCCTCACTGGGAACAAGGTAAGATGCTTGGAAGGCTGATCCCTGCAGGAGAGAGTGCTTTGTGCAGTCTGGAGCATGGCTGCAAGGGTGGAAATGCAGGCTTAACTTTGGATTGATGCAACAGACGTGAGTTTGTAGAGTTGGTAATGCAGGTTGTACACACGGGCAGCAGCATCAGGTTGGAACTTGCAGGGAACAATAATGCAAGGAGTGCACACAAGAATGCAGCAGCAGATTTAAACAGTGCAGGCTTCACACAGAGTATGATTGCAGATTGGATCTCATTGAGAGCACACACTGGGAATTGGTTGTAGAGATGACGTTGCTGAGAACACACATAAACAAGTCGGCAACAGTGGATTAGAACGTGATAATCTCACAGGAGTATTAGCTTGCCACAGATGGGAAGTGAGACGAGATGAGACTCCATTGCTGTTGATTAGTTCTCAAGCAGGAAGGAGGGAGACGGCTGTGTGAAACAGAGATCCAGTGTGTTTACAAATTACACAGACACTGATTGTTTGAACCTCATGGCCTAAAGAGGAAGAGGTCAGGTGACACCGCTGGATGTGATTGATTGAGGGGGTGGAGCTCTACTCTGATCCTGGAAGGCAAATATATTACACAAGTATACTGTTATGCCTGACAAAAGTCCCACCCATCACTCCAATTTCCTGACCCTTGTCAGGTGGAGAGACAGATAGGAATCACGCAGCCGGGATATGCAGGGACCCAATGAGTGAAGTGTACGCAGAACAGGACCAGCAATACAATAACAATGAGAGGAACTACTCGCAGTATGGTGTCAGCTAGGGTCAGTAGACAGTAAGTAGAATTACATAGTACCAACTGAAATGGGAACTCAGCATCAGAATCCAGGGCGGGTCTGCAACAAACCGAAGGCAACAGGTCCAAAGGGTAGTCCAGAATAAGCAGAGTTAAAGTCCAAGCCAGATCAGCAACAAACGGAACCACAGTACAAAAGGGTAATCCAAAGGCAGGTGGGGACTAGCAAAAGATCATGAACCAGGATTCCAATATAGCAACAAGACCACCCAGGATGCACACAGCAAATCCTATACTTGGGAAAAGACAGGAAGGGGAGGACAGTATTTATAGGTGGCAGATTAGATCATTTTCTGTAGCTGACCAGTAGGTGGGGTCAGAGCCCCATACAATGTTGGTGGCGGTGACAAAAGTCATCACAAAATCAAAACCCCCCCCAGTGGCTCCAGAAGCAAGGAAACAACCCAGACACCGAAGGTCCGAGAATCGATTCCAGGTACGGGCGTGACATTAAATAAACCCAAAGGGGGGCGTGTCCTGCTCATGGCGGAGTAAGAAGCAAACGCAGCGAGCTCCGTGGGTTTCATCCTTACACTCCACTTATACCGACTTATACCCCTCTAAGTTGGGTCACACAAGATGTCCAAACGCAGCAAAGAGGACAAGCAAGCCTCACAGCGGGGTACCCCCTCGATGCAGGAGTTTTTCACCTCGACCCGCACCAGGCCCCGAGGCCGAGACCAATCCATCATGGCGTCCGAGCCCCGTCTCCTGCGCACACCTAGAGGCAATGCCCGGTCTCGTTCCTCCACACCAAATGAACTCCGTTCAGATATACGACTCCGACTCCACGGACGCGGACTCTTACACTTCTCGTGGACGAGCCCGGACCCTGAGTCTTACTGTTGATGTCTTACTGGAATGGGGCCGGTCCAAGGGCTTCCACGGACTGCCGTGGACTGATTCTCCGTGAGAGGGTACCCCCCCAGTCATATAGGTTCCATGGACAATGGTGCCCTCCCCTGGTTTACCTACGCCCTAAATGCTTAGTGTTTGCTGATGTCATGTTGTTTAAATGTTATTTGCATTTTCGTTTTCCTGTCGTGCCCGGACCTGCGAGTCCATCTGGGCATAACTCCCCTGTTATGTTTCACGAAATTCTGAAATAACTTGAAATAAAGAATTTATAAAATAAACCCAAAGGTCAGCTGGCAAGATTAAAAAGGAATTGTACCTGGGATGCATGCACAGTGTGCTCAATGGCAGACGTGTCCTAGAGCAGCTCTAATTTCGATCCTAAACAGATGGTGATCATTCCTAAAACTCTAAAACGAAACTGTGGGGAAGATCAAGATGGTGTTGTCTCAACAGACAGTCCACCCCTCTGGTAAGGCCTCACCTTCCCATTCTGGTATAGACAACACAGATAGCAGGGCAAGTTCCCATGATGTTCTGCAGCGTATAGACTGCAGGCTACAAAAGGCATTACAGCATACATCTAAACAAATCATTGACAAGCTGATAAAAGAAATATGCAATCTCTGCCACAGGATGGCTGAACTGGAGTCTAGAATGGATATAGCTGCTTCAGCTCTGGAGGCTCATGAATGCGAACTGGATTCTATGAAAGATAATAACTCGCAACTTCTTTCCAAACTGTTCCAAAAGTTTTAGAAAATAGATCTAGCTGGTCTAACATCAGAATCTGTGGCATCCCTGAATCGGTCCTTGATCTTCAGGTCTTCATAACGGCTCTCCTTCAGGAATTGGTACCTTGCATACCATGCGCATACCTAGAGTTCCAACGCATCCACTGTGCCTTAACTCACCGCCAACCTGACGGCCCACCTCGGGACATCATACAATGTCTCTACTTTAGGGCGTTTAGGGCGTAGGTAAACCAGGGGAGCCCTACCATTGGTCAATACCAAATAAGCTATTCTGTGTGTCCCAGACTTTCGGATCATTACCCCGACCTGGGACCATATTTTGCCTGGACACATGGCCCCAGCCTTGTTTTTGGGTGTGGCCTCTGTTTTTAATCAGAAAATGTTGTTTAAATTAGGAATGCACCGATACCGGTTTTTCAGTATTGAGCTCAAGTACCAATATTTTTTTTCGGTTCTCGGCTATACCATGTACCGGTGCCCGTGTGCCCTGATTATCAGGAAGTCGGGCAGCGGATCATGACCCGTCACCCAGCTTCCAGATTGCCTGTGAAACCGGTGTTCTAGCGCCACCGGCTTCACTTGCCGAGGTTGCCTGAGGAAGCCAGGCGACAAGTAATGAGGTGCCTTCTGGCTTCTTAGCAACAACAACAACAAGTGAAGCCGGCTTCCTAGCCAATCAGGAATCCAGGTGGGAAGTCATGATCCGCCTCCTGACTTTCTGATTGACTAGGAATCTGGCTTCACTTGTTCCTAGGCAGCCTGGCTTCCTGGCCTATCAGGAAGCCGGGAGGCGGATCAAAACCCACCGCCCAGCTTCCTGATTGGAAAGGATGCCGGCTCCATGCTCCTTTGGTACTGCCAGTCAGAGGGAGATCTCCCTCTGCCTGAAAGTTCTGGCATCGGAGGTAAGTATTGGAGTATTTGGGCGAGTACGAGTACGAGTCCAAATACTCAGTATCTGTACCGATACTAGTATTGGTATCGGTGCATACCTAGTTTAAATCGCTATATTTCTCCTCTCGTATTCTTCCTTCTTTCTTTCTCTCCCTGTCTTTTCTTCTTTTTCGGTGCACCCCTTGAGCGCTACACTGCCACAACACGCACTATGATCCTCTCACTGTATTTGACACAATGTCCACCCTGAAATGCCTCTCCCTTAAAGTGACATTAAACCCTCAGATTTTTTACCTTAAACCAGTACTGTAATGTGCGCCTTACTGTAATCCATGGTTGTTTCCCTTCTCTTTGCTGCTCTTCCTTTTAAATCCTCATGTCTTCTCATGCTTGGGGAGAACTTCCTTTTTTTAGCTCAGGGCCTCTTCCTGTAGTGCTGGCTCAGGTTTCAAGCCTATACAAATCTATACACAGACACTGTGTATCGATTCCTGAGACAAGGCAGTCTGCTGCAAAACAGAAGTTCTGCAGAGCATGAGAACAGATACAGATTTAAAAGGAAGAGCAGCAAAGAGAAGGGAAACAACCATGGATTACAGTAAGGCACACATTACAGTATTGTTTTATGTTAAAAAATCTGAGGGTTTAATGTCACTTTAATGTCAAATGTTTCAACTCCCCTAACAAATGTAGTCTACCTTTTCGCCAATTTCACTCCAAAAATATTGATATATGCCTCCAGGAAACTCACTGTTCCCGCATTTCCTTCCCAAAGTACCTCCAACATTGCTTCAGCAATTTACACCAATCTATATAACAAATTACATGTCTAAACAGCAGGGAGTTTTGATTGCTTCCAGGAACAAGACCCAATGTATATGCCGCAAGGGAATTTCAGACCCCTCTGGCCGCTACCTGATACTGGTAGGCACCCTTCTGGATGTCGAAATAACGATCGTGACTTACTATGCACCCAATTTCAATAAAATCTATTTTTTAAACACTTACTCTCTAGGATTGAATTCCATCAACAAATCACTTTTGTTGCTTTGTGGTGACTCCAATCTCACTATCCATCCAAGCCTAGACAAGTCCTCCTCACTGATCCCACCTTCTTTATACTCCAAATCTTTCCGCATCCTGCTCTCCCAATATGCTCTGGTTGACTGCTGGCGTGAGCTACAACCATCCTCAAGAGAATATACTTTTTATTCAAACCCACACAATTCCTTTTCTCGAATTCACCACGTTTTTACTTCTCATGCCACGTTACCTTTAGTCACATATGCTTCAGTCACAGACCATCACTGAGTTTTTATCTTTATCCTTGCTATGACCTGAGTTGGTTGACCGTCTGTGGTCTCTGATTTCTTACTGACAGACAGCATTACGTGGACAGCTATCCAAAATGCTCTCCTAGACTATATTTCCTATAATAAAACACCAGACACTTTACCATTTCTCTTTGGGAGGCTCACAAAGTAATCCTTAGGGGAAACTGTATTCACATTGCGTCCCCCCTTAAGAAAGAGAGACAAGCACCTCTTGCACTAGAGGATGAATCCCTCTCCTCAAATCAAATTCTTATTGGAGAAAACTAAACGTGAGTTTAACCTCCCGTTCGCTAATATTG